ACGCGTTTTTAAATGGATAATTAGTATGTCCACTGCTTGCAGATGTTTTAATTAAGGTCACATCAGAGAATGATTCTGTTTCTTAGGAAATTAACTGTCTATTGGCACGTCCACATTCTGTATCAGACAGCCTGTCTATTCAGCTCCTATGCTCACTTCCAAAGCTGAGTCCCATTTAGGAGCTGGGCTCATCCTTGTTGAGTATGTTTTCCCCTTTTTCTTCACTTCATCAATTTCTCTATGATTTCTTTAATTTCCAAAAGTGGTAAATTTTTAGTTTATTTTTTGTCATCCCTGATTAAACAACTTCTTTCTTATTTTCTTTGAGGACTTCGTGTTAAGGGTCAAATATATATTATGAGATAGTTCTACTAGTGACATAAATGTAAAACTAGCTCTCTGATGCAAAATTACTGGAAAAATCTTTGAACAGTATGACCGAAGATGTAAGCATCTTTGTTTCTCTCTCTCCATATGCACATACACACACTTTTATATTGTTCCTTTATCTTAACTTCAAAAATTTTTGAAGATTGGTTGGATGAGTTAGATAAATTATTTAACATTTTGCTTAAGTTCTACCTTTGGTAATACTATTTTATGATAATACTGTTGATGAAATTATTTTTAATATGTTCCATTTTCTACAGAGTAATGACTCGATCTCAATAGTATGCAGTTCAGCAGTTTAAAAGCAACAAAAACAGCTGCCATCAGTAACACTATTGGCAAATGCAAAAAAAAAAAATAATAAGCCATTTGTTATTTGGTTTTTAAATTTTTTTTTTAATTCTTTTGAACTTAAGCATTTAGATGACATTTTCCTTTATTCATACTCATTCTTTAATGTGGAACACTTTCTGTTAATTTTTTTTAAATGTGTGCACATATTTTGAAAACTTATATCACTTTCCATATATCAGAACTGAGAGTATTAATGAAATTTTAAATGTCTTGGTTACTTGCTGAAGTGATAAGATGAAACCGGTTGATTTGCTTTGCTAACTTTTTATATTATCAAAATAATCTTGCTAACATGAATCTAATAATATATTTTATTACTGTTCTTAAATTATTTTTAAATGTAACAGAAAAAGTAAGGTGTTAGGAGCCTTCTGTGTTTGGCCAAAAAGTTCCACCTCAACCTTTAACACAAAATAATTGCTATAGACAAATGGTCAAGAGAGCAATTATAATCTTCCAGGCATCATTTCCTCTGATATAAACTGCAAATTGACAGCATCATTAGTCATTTTCAATTATAGTCAATCACAACCAGAGATGTTTCATTTCCCCAGCTGTTTTGTTGTTAATTAACTAGATTAGGCTGTTTTTTTTTTCTTCTCAACAAAGTTTGCTCTACTGCCAATATCAACATCCTAACATTTCTAAGAACTTTCTTAGGGTTTATTTTTTTTCCCGATAATTTTTAATATATTACTCAAGAGAAGTGTGTCTGAAGATTTATGTACATGGTATCGCAGGTCAAGTGTGTCTCTTTGGTCAAAACATTGCCCAATTACATATTATAATTATGACTTTATTTGGATTTTATAAATCAGGCATATGATCTCATTTACCTGGTGTAGCTTTTTTTGTAATATCAGAAATCAATATAGAGATAACGGAATAAGTCTGTCTCCTCAAAATGAACAGGTCCATTTTGACTGACATTTGATGAGCAATGATAATTAAAAAAAAAGTTGAGAAAAGAATTATAGAAAAAAAATAACAATATTAGAGATTTCATAATTTGCTGACATAACAAATGTTAAGCACATATGCTTGAATGTAAGTAGAACCCTCACTTTCCCATTGTGAAGATAAAATTTATAATAGATTTTTGAGCAACTTATAGATAAAACCATTTAGTAATATGTATGAGATTGCCAAGTATCTAATTATATTTAATTGCTTAATTGAGTAGCACTTCCATATTTGAAATCTCACATTTTATAAAACAACACAAATTAGAAATATATAGCTTTTGCCACATTTATATTTTATGAAACAAGTTCATTTATACTCTTCATATGTGTGTTCCAGAATTCCAAAGCTTGCCATCTTCTTTCTAAATTATTTGGAATATGGCACTGTTTGAATCTCCGTATGATGCCGTAAAAACTCTCTGTCCAAAGACTATTTAGGAGTATACCTATAATCAAAAAGTTAGGATTATTTAGTTTACTGTAGCGAGAAAGCAAGCTCTCCAGAAAGACTGTGGAGCATTTTAATCAGAGGGCACTGGAAAGAGCTACTTGTAGGGTTTGGCTGGCTAGATTATTCCAAAGAGAAAATAGGGAAGTGGAAACTATTTCTGGATTAGATGTTGTCAAGAAACAGATGATGTGGCGATGGGGCGTCTTAATTTTTATCTAGAAAGTGAGGGGATTAAACCAGGACAGAACTGTCACTGTTAAAGGAGCAGTGTCTCATTTTAGTCATTTTTGTTCTGGCAGAGTGGCTTTGTCTTTGTCTCATTTCAAACATGGC